ATTGTGGATTTGTGAATTGAAGACAATTAATTGGGGTAAATTTATGTTTTGCTAGTGGTGTTTTCACTGGTTTTAAACACCAATTGGCAACATTGTTTAAGATGGCCAGAAGTATGTCCTGATTTCTGTGAGTATTATATTGGTAAAAGAATATATATAATATGGGACGATATCATATCCACAATAATTCTTTAATTTTTTTAAACACACTTTCCTTATTTTACAATAGGTTTATATTCCATAAATATGATTATTCTATATGTATCTCCGTACTAGGTGTTATTGAACAACTGAACCCACTAACCGGATCGATATCATTAGTACTCGATTCTTGCCAACTACCAACTGTCTCTTGCACCTTTACTATCCTGACTTTACTCTTGCTTTTATCTTTTCTACCTCAGCTTTTACTTCTATTTCGTACTTTTAATTGTATTCCTCTAAAATGTACCTGGCTTGCTTATTGACGACCCGAATCACTTACCTTCAGGATTAATAGTCTATCTATCTATCTTATCTATCTTAGAATTCTTTATGCTCTCTTTTTTCCAAGCAATCCCTGAATGATGCAGGCTATTACAGGTAGATTCTTTAACCAAAAAAAATGCCCCTCTCGCATCCTTGTTCCTCTCCTGCAGACCACTAGATGTCACCAATGGCATTGGCCCCTTGCCTGCTCTCTTGCAACACCAGCCAGCCAGGTTGGCCAAACAACAGCAGGAACTATCCTTATGGAGGTCTCTGGGGTGTGCCTCCGCAGTGCTTCACCACGAAGGCACGTAAAGAAGGCTTTACTCACCAGGTGAAGAGCACCAAATTGCTTGTGTCCACACTATGTGGGAAGTATTGTTGATTGGATAGCTTATTAGAAAGAGGTTTTAATCTTGAATGCTTCTCCATTCTCTGCCCTCATTCTTTCTTACTAATTCCCTTTGGTCCTCTCTTCCAGCTGGCAAAGAAGTACCACCCAGCACACTCAACCCTGATTGACCCCCAGGGGGCCAAAAAGAAAAGTTTGCCAAGCTTTGGCCTGGAAGCCTATGCAAGGTGGCCAAAACCAATTACAAATAAAAGTGCCTCAAAGATAATCCATTTAATTCCACTCTCCAAGTTCTTATAAAAAATGGTGCAGCGTTCACTCAAATCATGATTACTCAATATTGGGATGTAAACCCTTAACCAGAAATGTTCCTGCTCCTGTTTGGTTTCTGTGCGAAAAGGTGCTCGAGTGGCACGAGGTGAAGAGGAACAAATACTGGACCACCATATGGAGAGGCAGGCTTCACACACAACACCGTGCTGGACCAAGGCCAGCAGCATTTACTCCACAGGGGCTGGGGGGACCCGACCTAACAGACCCCCGAGGAAGCTCTTCAGGAAGGATCCTTCTGGAGAGTTTGTACTGGAGGAATGGGCCTTGTTTGGAAACCATCAACAACATGGTTTGATCAAAGACCGTGAGGTCCACTGGTAGCCATCCTATATAGTTACACTATTATGGTTAAATCATTACACTCGGTACAATGTGTGAAGTTACAAGCGAAATAAATGTGCTACATTTAACACAAAAGTCATAGAATAAAAATATTACAAGTGTTGCAGGACAATAGCTGTTAGGTCAGTTAGAAATGATAGCAAATATATCTTTATCAAATCACATTTTATTTGCTGCTCTTTATGATCACATTATACTTTTTCATACTGCAAAGCACACAATAAATAGTGGAGAGGAACAATAAGCACAACCTCTCCCTGTTTAGAAGTCTCACAGCCCTGGGTGTAAGGTGATCTTTTAAAAGTTTAGAGTGAGTTAAGGGGGACAGTATTTTGGTTACATGGCTTATCGAAGTTGGTTGAACCACATTCAAAGTTTAACTCTGTGGCGAATATAATCTTCTGTTTATTGTCCTCGCAGTAATGACATGAACATGGGAAACCAAAAAGTGTGACAACAAGGTCAATGTTACTGATGTAATAGTTCAAAACAGTGTCAGTATCCTACCAAAGACCGAGGCTAACCAGCTTTGGAGGACTACTGCAGCCTTTAGCTGGTTGCAAACTGTAACACTGCTCACCACAAAGCCTGGACAAAGTGTTATGTGCATTCAGACTCAACTGTTGTGGTTATGAATAGTGCCAGAGGGCTGCTGATATAAGAGGTAGGGGTGTTCTGCTAACAGCTGAGCTAGCTGTCTCACCTGTCAGTCCTCTCAATGTCACGGTATTTCGGTGTGTCCAGGAGCTCAGGCTGACCGCTGTCCCTCCCCGGTGCGTCTGCAGTGTCGTCGCCGAACAAACTCCTGCACGTCCGGCGGAGACATTCAGAAAAAGACCGCTACGGTGTCCAGAAGAAACTGATGCCGATAACCAGCGTGTAGTGAGCCGAGCAGCAGAGGACGCCATTTTCGCGTCACTACCGGTGTCGGCGGCGGTCTGCGCATGTGCGGCTACTTCGGCTACTCATGTATGAGCATGCTGCATGCAGTGGAAACATGCCCCAGTTATTAAGTTCTAACTTCCAATAACATAATATATAATAATAAAATGTCTTTGTCACAAGGTCAAAGGTCACACAGAACAGCAAGGTAGCCTACTGGATACTTTCCTTTGATTTAGAGAATCTTTTGTTTTTCATAATTTCATAAAATGTAAGTACAGAAATAACCTGCAGCAGTTCTGAGTCAGTTTCACTTTGTGATTGTGTTTGATTCTCATCATCTTGATGAAATGGTGTGTGCACACTTACAAGGAATATGACTCCGGTTTTACGTTGCTCTCAATGTACAGAACAAGCCTAATTAACAGGCTTAACTAAATAGACATAAACTACTTTGTACAGTTATATATATATACAACCCAAAGCAATAACATTTCAAGACAGTAGACAATAGTTAAATGGTGCGGAGTGCAACGGATGCTTAAAGGTTTCTTTATGTACATGAGGTAGGTGGTTATGACAGTATATACAGTGTATACAGGAGTTAACTTTTTTGTCAGAGTGATGGCCTGTCGGTAAAAACTGAATGAAAATGAAATATGTTGGGTGGTATGGTGAATGGATTTCATTGCAATCTAATTAATCATCAGTAAATCATCATAAATCAGACTAAAATACTGCCGTAACTTACTCATGCACCATACAGACAGTAGATGGCATCACAGATCTTTGAATGAGAGTTCATTGCTTACTGGATCGTGCTCTGAAACTGACTTGTATTTGTTAAGTGTTTATAGATAATGTTAGGATAAAAACAACTAAAATAATAATATATTCCAGGAATCCTTCATTCCCCTAGTACAGCAGAAGTCAGATTCAAATCTAACAAAATGAAAACTGAAGGGACATTGACTTTTGTGTCCCAGGGTGAGGGTTTAAAGGGTTTAAAGGTCACTGAAAGGGTGGTTGGGCAAGAACATTGTTCCTCTACATCAGTCAGGTGTCAAGACCGAGTCAGACATGGCTTTTTACAGCTTAGTGATCGAACATTTCTTTATAAAATGACAGAATGTAACTTTTTCTATTCACAAAAAAGTAATTTTCATATTTGGCACTCTGATTTTGATGTGACGTTCATTTTCATAAGTCATATTGGATTTCAGTTCATACTCAAGTAAAGAGTAAGACTAAACAAAGCTGCATTTATAGGCTTTACTGAACAGACAAGAGCTTCACATGATAAAATCAAAGAAGTATTTTTTTTATATCACAAAAAAATGTAAGAAATGCAACACATTGCCAGCTAAAAGACATATGAGTGGTCCCAGACTCTGCAGAGGGCCAAATGTGTCTAAGAATGTCAGGGTAATGAGGTTTGATTTCTAAAAGCTATATATAATACAAGACCCATAAAAAATTCTCTAATAAGCAAATAAACGCTGTCCGTTGACATGACAGGAGGACAGAATGAGAGACAAAGAAAGATCAAGATTTTTGGGTCTTTAGTTATGTCAGGCGCTTTTTTTTACGAAGCGAACAAGTTGAATGGATGTCAGTGTGTGTGTGACCTGATGAAAGAGAAGCTCACGCTCCCTTTCAGTTTCCCCTTCTTCTGCCCCGCCATCTCTCTCTCATTCCCCGCCGTCTCCAAGACGACCTGCAAAACAGCATCCCAGCTGTGAGTGTCTGTGTGGAATGTATTACCAGAAGAGGCTGACATTTGCCACTCAGCAATGTAAATATCACTGTGAGCAACGATTCTTATCTCAATAAAGATGCTCTGACTTCCAACTTCAGTGTCAACACAGACTGGTTAGTATTCAGATATATAATGATGTGTGCATGTGAAGGTTGACTGGTCAGATATGCTAAATGATGGGATGATGTTCACACGTTTTTTGGTGTTTGACTCATCACATGTGAATGAATTGTTTGAACGATCGCGTCTTATCCTCTGGTCATTCTTTGCTTTTTAATCTCTCCAGCTATGGAGATGGAGGGTATGAGGTCAAGTCATCAGATCAGTAGGAGGTGGGGCAGGGGTGTCAATCTTCACTCAACTACTTATGCTCCTACCCCTCCACCTCTGCACACACACACACACACACACACACACACAGACCCCATCGTGATGTCATAAAGTGCCGGGTTCAAAGCAGCAGACAGTGCTCATTGCAAGCATGTGGTTGTAATTAGTGTGTTGGGTTTATGAACGATGGTAATAGAGCTCCATATATCAGCCTCACTGTCAGGCACCGGCTCAGATACTTCATACCTCAGGCTGAAAACACAGACACATGGAGGGTCACAACAACACGACTGACCCAGATTGCTCCTGTGCAGCTCGAACAAACGCACGATTGTGAGAAAAAGTTACGCCTATTTTCAGCATGAACCAGACGTGCCAAAACCTGATGTCAGTTGTACTGATCACATCTACATTACCTTCATAGTGTGTCTACTGAGAATTCTTAATTCTGATAGGCTGGCAGGTGCGGATGAACTTTTAGTAACCCTACAATATATCCTATGGCAGAGGTGTTTGTTTGTTTTTCTGAATTATTGTCACAGTATTAAACTCTGTAGATAGTAACAATGAGCACTGTCTGTTATCCTGTCCTCACACTGCATTACTGTACATATAGCAACTGTTACGGGCTTGGTGGTGCAACAATCCTGGAAATTCCCTTCATGTTTCAGGGTAAATTTAGATTTTGGTGTGATATGTGACAATGAGGAGTGAGGAGTACTACTCAGCATGTAACAGTTCTAGGATGTGACTCCGCAGGATGAGCTTTGCCAAGTCTGAGGTAATAACCCAAATTTTGTCACTAGGGCTCGGAAACTACAACTTTTACAAACTGGGGACTGGGGACATGGCGTTTAAAAGACGTGGGCTTTTAATGAGCAGGGAACCCTAATGAATGATGCTATCAAGTAACTTTGTCAAGTCTTTGAAGATTTACCAAAACAAGGATATCTCGGCCTCTGCTGCATTTATTAAAAATAATCTTATTTTTGAGTCCCCAATATTACTGCTGGAGTAATCTTAATCAGTTGATGTTGCTCTTACTGGCAAGTGGATTAAGCTGCGAGTCTGCCACTGTGTCCTATATTGGGCATTTGGTAGCCTGGGGATAAAGAATAAAAATAATAAAAAATAATTTACATACCATATTGTAAATGGAATATTAATTGATCCTAGTGGACAATCTTTGTTGCCTATCTAATAGTTAAAAAAACATATTGTACAGTATACTGTATACTGTATTTTCAAAGAAACATAGTAGGCTTTAGAAAATGGGAGTCAATCAGCCACAACCTTGTTTCATCAAAAGAGAAACGGAAACTTTAAAGAAGCATGCTTTAAACCTGTGTATTATTTCATTTTATATCAAATTTCTTTCTATTTTAATAGTTTCTTAACCTTATGTAAAGCACTTTGTTCTGTGTTTGACAGGTGCTAAACAAATAAACTTGCCATTAAATTGCCTCAATGAATTTATAAGGACCTTTGTGTTTATCTCTTGGGCCAGAATTTTACAGTGCTTGTGTTAAATGTTTTATCTAAAGTGCATTCAATGTAAACAAAAAAATATACCCGATCACCCAAATTTGTTGTACCTGCAAACTAATTCAAGAATGCGAATGTTCCCTGCACTCCTCATTTCTTCTATACTGGTGAGAATCAGGAGATTGGCCCCCCTGCAATGTCCCATCCTCTCCCCCTGGGCCTCTGACATTTTAATGTCACAAGTAAACATCAGAGCAATGCTGAAAGAGAGAACACAGGAAGAGATTTTGTAACCAGATCGTGGCGACAAAATGATCTCACAGCCATATGAGAGACTGAACATCTCACATTCATATTTCAGAAACACACAGCTGCTGATATTGCTGGAGGGCAGAGCGTGTATCAACAGCAAAAGAGAGTGAGCAGAAGTCAAACCATGTCCAGCATGACACTCCACACTCCCCACTGTTATGGAGATGATACGGCTGTTGTGGTTACAGACTGTGCTACCGAATTACTGAATGGTCTCACAGTATCTTTCTGTGTTCGTGTGCGTCTACTTCCCTACAGCCAATAAGCAGCATCTACTTGAACACTTAAGGTGTTGAGAATTACCTCAAAAGCAATAGTGCAGAGGGAGACCATTTAACAGATAGATGGATAGATAGATAG